CATAAGATTATATGTGTATGTATGTTATTTGCATGCCAATGCCTCCCTTGTGTAGACTTTCAAAACCCCTGAGATTGCTGTTGGGCTCTGCCATCTTGGATGTGATGTCAGCAGCCCCAGCAGACTCAGAGTTGTCACTCCAGTGACTCTATAGTATTTAGCTTCACTCCTCCCCCAACAGCTACATAATAACTGGAAAAAGACTGGAAGGTAAAGGGATGGGTGGAGGATCCTGGCCAGCACACAGAATTACTAATTACTTCCAGAAGACAAGTAGGTTATGATGTGCACGGACTAGAAAGTTAGAAAAAGGAGACTGATAGGTTAGCGCACTTCTGGGGGGGTTGCTCTTTTCTCCACGCCCTTCTGGAGGTACCACCCCAAAAAAAACTTCTTCAAAGGATCCACCTCTGCCCACCAAACACCCACCTGTCACCCCAACCAGACCTCACTACACCATTAGGAGGTCATCACTTGTGTACCCCTTCCTCTCATCACACGTGAGTGTCCTTCGCACATTTTCACCCGATTCACTGTTATTTTCCCTGGTCTATCCACGCAAGGAGGAATTGGACTGTGCTTGGGAACTGACTCATCCTCATCATGTAGCCAAATCTTCCAGCAAGGTCAAAGGGACAAGCAAGTGAATTTAAAAAAAAAACACTTTAATTAAGCCATTAAAATACTTGATATCTGTAACTACTATATTTCTGTATATATTTATGTCAAGATTATATAAATGTCTATGTAAATGATTATGTAAATACTCATTAAAAATTAATTTAAAACAATGTTTCTTAGTTTAGGCTAAACTGACATGGGGGTCTATTCACGAAGCAGCCGAAGGATCTAGCCATAGCTTCAGCCGATCCTTCGGCTATCTTTGGCCCCAGGACCCCTTTGGTTCAGTAGAACCGAAGGGCTGCTGTACGGGCTATTCACAATAAGTAGCTCCCAAACGTAGCCGAGTGGCTCAGTCGAGCCGGAGGCATGTGCCTCGGCTCGGCTGAGCAGCGCTGAAAGCCAAAGCTGGCCGATCTTACGGCTGGCTACGGTCACTTGCAGAGACATCAGCATCCCTGGTTACCAGCTAAACAGGGACACTGATCTCCAGGCAGCAAACTCTCCCGGGCGCTCCGGGAGTCTCCCGCTCCCGGCCGCCAAGGAGAGATACACTGCTGTTTCTTTTTTTTTCTTTATTCTGCCACGGAGCTGTGTCAGAATGGAAAAAAAATTATAATTTTTGCCCATAGGAATGCATTGCTAGATTCCTATTGGCTATTTCAATTTGCAATAGCCAATAGTAAACTAGCATTGCACCCACCCTCTGCTGATGGACCTGATGGAGAACTGCAGCAGAGGGCGGGTGCAATGCTAGTTTACTATTGGCTATTGCAAATTGAAATAGCCAATAGGAATCTAGCCATGCATTCCTATGGGCAAAAATTATAATTTTTTTTCCATTCTGACACGGCTCTGTGCCAGAATAAAGAAAAAAAAAAAGAAAAAGCAGTGTTTCTCTCCTGGGCGGCCGGGAGCGGGAGACTCCCAGAGCGCCCAGGAGAGTTCTTTTTTTCGTTTTTTTGATGGCAGCAGAACCGCCGGCCAATAGAAAACTATTGGGCGGAGCTAGCTGTCATTGCTAGCTCCACCCAATCGTTTTCTTTTTTTAACTTTTTTTTACTATTTTTCTGTTCTGCTCGGTCCCTCTGAGGGATCGAGCAGAACAACTGAGCCGAATGCCACTCAGCGGAGCCAGCCATGATGTCACAGCTGGCTCCACCCAGTTGGTGTCATTCAGTGACAGCCCAGCGTCCTCAGGTCATTTGAGGACACTAGGCTGTCATTGAATGACAACAAATCGGCAGAGCCAGCCGTGACATTACTGCTAGCTCCGACCAATTGTTTTTATTTTGCCGGCATCTGTCAGAATGTAATTTTTGCGGTGGGAGTTTGTTGCGTGCAGACGGGTTGGTGGGTGTCAGGTTTTTTTACATTTCGCCCAGTCATCGTCATCATCGTGGACAATGCTGGACATCATGATTGACCTTAGGATTACATCAGTTGTTCAATTTTGGGGATTTTTTTAACAAAGGAATTGTCAAGATCTTTGTTGTGTTTTTTTTTTCAATTAAAGGATTGTTTAGAAAAGTGTGGGCTCTTTATTAACATTTTTATTGTACCCTTTAGTGAATAAATAGGGGTAAAATTACCCCTTACTCATTCACAAGGGGGGTGCATCTGGGTGCCCCCTTTATTAAAGGATGTAAGCCCCCATGCTTCCAGACCCCCACAGCCAATAGGTCAGGGTTGTGGAGGAAGAGGCCCTTGTCCCCAATGGCATGGGGACAAGGTGCTTTTCCAGGGGGGCCCTGGGAAAGCATCCTCCCAGTGCTGAGGGCATGTGGCCTGGCATGGCAGGGAGGGTTGCGATTGCTCATCCCCCTTTTCTGTCCTGCCAGAACTGTGCTTGAATTAAGGGTCTGGTTGGAGATTTTAGGGAGGACTCCACGTCCCCCCCCCCATTTTTGGGGGTGGAGTTCCCCCTTAAAATTCCTACCAGACCTAGAGAGCCTGGTCTAGAACTTGGGGTCCCTCCTTACTTTCCTACCAGACCTAGAGGGTCTGGTATGGATTGGGAGGGGGACCCCACGCCTTTTTTTTTGCTTTTTTTAACATGTAATTTTTTTATTCTGCTTGTTAACTCAGAGGTAGCTAAGAGAATAACCATGCTGAATGCCGGTGACATTTGGCTATTCACTCACTGCTGTTCGGCCCCTATGAGAATAAGAGCGAACGGCAGTGAGTGAAATGCCGGAGGTTCAGCTCAGCCGATCCTGATGTTGGATCAGCTGAATTGAACGTGTTCTTCACTTCAGTTCAGCCAAACATACTGAGCATGTTCGGCTGAACTGAAGCCAGCCAATGTATGGCTGATTTTAGACGATTGCAGCTGAAATCAGCTGTACAGGGCCAAAGTGAATAGCCGAACGGAGTTTGGCTCACTTCAGTTTGGCTCGGTTATTCACTTGATTGCCTAGTAACCCAGTACTTTACCTCAGGCTTAGGGGGATCCATGTAATTTTAAGGGGTTCCATGTTGTTTGTCTCGGAAATGTGTGATCTGACAAGAGGATGAACAAGGCACAGCCATTTCATATGTTTATATAATTGTAATCTGCATAGGAACAAGCTTTTTACATTATTTACAAGCATTGACAGGATTGTTGTCCTACTCACCAAATGTACATCTAGAAAGGACTATAGATCTATTTTAAAGAAAAACCGTGCTTTGCTCATGCAAATTAAAGCAACAGATTACGTTAATGTATTCCTCTCCAGCAACACATACTCACCTTTCCTCCTTCCCCAACTGCTCCATTCAGCAACTGGAAGCAAAGAAAATACCCTTTTTTCTCACATGGAATTGTTTGGCGATAGGTTCAGTTGTTCTAATATGGGGTGGGGAGACAGTCCTCTATCTTTTGGAAGCTCCCACTATATGGCTTCCTTTCCTTATTCCTAGGGCTGGGGAAGCAAAGTAATGGTGAGTATGTGTTGCTCTAGAGGGAGTCATTAAGCTAACTTGCTCCCGCCCTACATGGGAAAAAGTACAGGTTTCCTTTAAGCAACATTAGAACAAAATGTAAAATACTCCTAATAGAATGTAATAAGTAATTCTGTTTGTTAATAATTGCCTGTAAACCTGAAATAAATATATTTGCATTATATATCTAGTTTATTCCCTTGAGACTTTACCTTCACCCAAGCTATGATATGTATGAAAACTGATTTGACTATGACAATATGACACTCAAGAAAGTTTCCCAAGGGCTCTTTGCTGCCTTGTGGCAGGAGCTAGATTTATCTGATGCAGATTTATGTGACAAAAAGATATCCATATCTCACATTTCTAATATACTTGCAGTTGACAGGACATATCGAAAGACAGGGCCTTGAGCTGTAGGATTAACAATGAGATGTTAACTAAGAGGAGAAAAAGAAGCTCAAGGCAAAGAATTTCAATTCCAGATTGGAGAAAATTTCATGAGAAAGAGCTAACGACCCATAAAACTGTGCCATCTGAGTAAAGCAGAGCTGCAAATCTACCTTTCTGATTTGCACAACAAAACCTTTGTAGAGCCCATGGGATAGCTTTGATCAGAAGTGAAAAGATTCATTTAAAAAACAGAACTGAGCAAACAGGTACTTTCAAATACATTAGATAACAATACAAGACAAATCACTGTTTTTGACATACTTTTTTCCATAAACATTCTTTGACTTGTTGCTTTTTTGCTTACTAGAAATCCCTAAATACTCCCTAAGAGGTTTGGGTTATTATATAT